TGCGACACGGTAATGTCGTTTTTAGCGTGTTATTTGCCACATACCCTGCAGCGGACTCATCTGAGTGTCATGGACCGTGACAAATTCTTCGAAAAGGGGAAAGACAGAGAGGGCATGTTTTAATAAACAACTTTCATATTGTTGGAAACGTGTCCGCTCAACTTCCTAGTACTGCCAGTAATCCTTCTATTTTCATTCTGGTTTTCACTTTCCATCAAAACCACATCTTACATTTTAATTGACATCGGTAGACATTCTTATTTCAAATTAAAAGTTTAGAGCATTTATTATTTTATTTAAATATTTCTATAACTTTTTATAAACAATTTTTAATTAATAAAACTGTATTATTAAAAAAAAAAAAATTATTGATCATATTACAATAAAAATGAAACATGTAACTGTACATCAACACTTATTTAAGTCTACACGTATTTGCTGCATCAGGCATTGTGAATGTTTAGTACTTCTAGGGGAACAATTTTTGCATAATATGATGAAAAAAATACAAAATCAAAAGTCAAGACCAAAATAATAATAAAACCATTATTTTAATGATGTATTGCTGTAAAAAAATAATTTAGAAAAGAAAGAAACATGGTTTATCTTAATTGCTGTTTAACGGACAACTTTTTCTCGCTTTTGAATTCTTAAAAACTGAATTGTATGATAGTTGTGAAAAGCGCTGAAGTTATGATATTTAAAGAAACTTAAAAGTAAAGTTTTTAATTATTTAATATATTTAACAACTTTGCAATATGATGATAGCGTTCTTTTGCGTGTTCACAATTTCAACATTTCTGAGAAGTTAAGAGTTACTGGATTATCTATTTATGTACAGTATAGCTAACATAGAAAATCATTTTTTTTATTTAATTTTAAAAATTTTTCTTATACAAAAAATATCAATAGGCTTTTATTGATTATTTCATTTACTTAATAAACTAAGTAAAAAAAGTGTATTCTAGTTATATACTATTATGTTATGAAAAGTTGAATATTTCCACAGACATTTTTAAATATAACAATGAAAATTTGTTTATAGATATAGAAAACTTCCAATACAAAATACAGGTTAATTTAATTTGTATTGTTGAATTGAAAAGAAGTCTTAACATTAATTAAATTAAAACGTATAAAAGAAGAAACTATGAACATATATTTTCCATAATGAAATATAAAACATAAATAATCATTAATTCACTAGAATGAATAATCACTATGATCATGAGACATTTGAAAAACACAGACATTTATATCAATAATGTGATTTAAAAGGTTTTTTGTAAACTTCACATAAAGAAGTTTTAATAAAAATAATTTTTTTTTTTGTATTATTATAATAAGTATTTGTAGCTTACTATATATACATTTTTTTTTGTCAATAAACATTAATAGAAGAAATTGGAGATATAATAATTAATATATAATGAATAATTATTCTATTAAATTATTTTATACTGTATGTGAAATTATAAGATCTTAGTATAAATTTAATAAAGGAAAGATAATATACTATTATGTAAGAATTTTAAAGACACGGAGTTTACTCATAAAAATGAGTAAATTACAAAACAAAGAATAAAGTGAGCTCAAGCAAACCAACTTGGTGGTAAACCCGCATATTGAAACAAGCTTCATAGTGAAGAGGTATGATTTCAAATTTCAAGTGCTTTGTAATCTAACACAAAAAGCAAAGGACTGATAGTGATGTTGTGCTATATAAATGAACTTGAAATGTACAAGAGTACAGCGTATCTTAGTTACTTACAAGACAAATCAAATACGTATATTATAATAGTAATTAAGGACAAAACTAAAGTCATAGTCATTGAATACTGAATATCTAATCAGCGCAAAAACAAGCTACGAATAAAGAAACTTCAAAAAATTATAAAATATATTAGAAAAAATACATTCTACTCATATCATTTTCGTATTGTGTAAAATACTGGGTATAAAGTTTTTTCCCAGAAAATCTTGACTGCAAACTAATCAACTTAAGATATTTGGTTGAANTTCCCAGAAAATCTTGACTGCAAACTAATCAACTTAAGATATTTGGTTGAATTAAAAAAAAAAAAAATGTTTTTTAATTAGACTAGTTTTAATATTACGGAACGCAGTGCGGCGCAATTGATCATTCAGTAGCAGTTTAAGTGCTGATGTTCAGCTAAGTTGTTTACTGTGAATTCCCTGATGGGTGACCATCCAGGAGCTTTAACTGGACACGTTGCCCCCTAACAGCTTATTATTATAGCTTCTTCAGCTATAATAATGAACTACAACCGACTTTAAATAGTTGGGGTGGAGGATAATGAGATGTGGATGATGATATTAGTTTTTAAAGTAGAATTAAACGTAAAATAAAAAAAATGTGATTTTATAAGGAATCAAAAAAAAATTATTTATAATTTTTATAATATCATCAGTGAAAGAGCAATATATTATATTTATAAAAATACTATTTGAAAAATATTGTGCAGTTTTTATAATAACCTCATTAATTTTAGAAAATATACTTATTATTATTTTACTAAATCAGATGGAAATTAACTATTAGGACAATTTTGAAACTCATTGGATTACCAAAATTGCGAAACAGAATTTAATTTGATCCATTACAAATGAAGTTCCTGATCAGAATGATAGTCAGTTAAATTTTTGATTAAAGATAAATAAATAAACTTTCTCAGATATCGTAAAAATATATTTCATTACTTGAGTTTAATTTATGTATAGTGATGCTTAGAGCGCACTATTTTCTACAGTCAATAAACTTTATTGATTGAAAAATCTCATTAATAGAATATAATCATAGAAATATAAAGTATTAACGGATATTATTAAAAATTTACAAAAAATGCTATAACAAAAATATGTTATTAATGTGTTAAGACTACCTTAAAAAAATTAAAGCATATTTACTCACGTAAAATTACGTTGATCATAATCTACTCGATTTTAGTATTGATTTAAGTATTAATTGTGTATACAAGAATCATAAGAATAAAAATACTAAGAAAACATTTGTAAAATTATGTGTATACATTTATTTCTAAGGTATATTCAGGTTCTATATTTTTTTCAGTATTTAAAGTAAATTAATACGGATGAAATTTGATATGAGGTAGTCAATGATAACGCTGGTTTATCACTTTCCAAATGACATAAATATTATAAAACATATACATTTGCTAAAAACAATACTAATTAGAAAAAATAAAAACTCAACCAATATTGAATTGCTAAATAAATTTATAAATATTAAAAAAAAATACATTATTTATGTAATTACATTAATAACCCAACCTGTCAATTAGTGTTATGCTTGTTGTATACTTTGTGAGACAATATTAAATAAATTTGAACGAGATAACTCGTTAATGTAAGTATTTATGAGATGTAAAACTTTGAGCTACAGTTCATAAAGTTCTTATGATTGAATTTATTCTCATGAAGTAATTTAAAATTATTTTTAAATAAGTAAATTATTATAGGTTATATCAGGTACACAACTGTGGAGTTCAATTAATAAACAGAGATAGAGTTTTATAATGAATTATTCAAATTCAAATTTTACATATATTTAAGCTAATCAGTAACCTTAAAAGTTACATGTCGGGGAGTAGAAGATTTTTATTTAGTTTTACAAAACTAGGAATTCAACAATTTTCTTTTAATATAATGATCATAATAAAACTAAAGTTGATTTCTGTTATGTTTTAGCTTGGATGGTATTACCTATACTAGAATATGTAACACACATGATAGTATAACTAAACATTATAAATATTCGTGTATAATTATGCCAATTTTTGTGTAAATGATTTCATATAATCATTTTGTAAATCATTCTCAAAGTATTCCATTTTTTTTTTTACCAAATTAAAGTTTCATTTCATGTGTTTTTTGTTCGATATGCAATTTGATTTATAATAAATTTAATGTATTTAAAAATAAAATTAATTTATTCAAATTTAGTTACGAAAATAGTGACGAAAAATTGTGTTGTTGAAATTAATCAATATAAATAGAAATAAAAAATGAATGATGCCATAGAAATATAAATGAAATTCTAGTTTTATTTCTGAGTAATAATTAAACTATTTTTTTTTATTTTGATCTTATAATAAATAAATAATAATAATAAATCAAATAATACATGAAATACGTTCCATTTTATTTTTTATAATAATAAATAATATTTTATCGAATTACGATATAAATTGTGAAATAAGAAAAATGTAATATTTTATAAAAGCGCATTTAAGATATTTGAAATTGAGGCAAAAATATTAAATGAAAAAATATAGTTGCGCGTTATTCATAACGAATATTGATTTTAATAAGTATAATGAAATTCATAAATTTATGTCAGGAGTAGAAGAAAACTTGTTAAAAGTATCACTATTTGATACATAAAATGAATTGAATATAAAATTACTTACTAATATTAGAATTATTCTTCAAAATTGAACGTTTATAAAAGTAATTTACTTTTGTCAGAGCCTGGAGCAACAAGTTCAAAATTAAATTGTATAGATATTACTTTTGTAAATAAGATAAGTGGTTAGGTAGTCGTTATTTTTTTAAACATACTACTCAGTTATTATTATTATTATTTTTTGTTATTATTAAATTTTAGATTTAATGAAATGAAAAAATACAAAAAACGTCTTAAGAACATTCTTATCTCTAAACAGCCTAAGAACCTGGGACCTTTGCCAACATTTCCCTTAAGGAGTTTTCATGTGTCTTTTTGTATTTTTTGATTTTATTGGACTCGATCCAAGTACATGAAACGTATACATAAACAATAGTTCATGGTATTGCTCATTGCCCTTTTTTTAGTCGTTTAATTATTTAGAATAACATAATTGTTTTTAAATAAGTAATAGATGCACTTTTATGTGTTTATAGTATAAATTTGAAGTCATAAATACATAGCGGTCAATTCGATTCATTTATTAACTAATACAATTTGGTTCAATGCTTACGTGATTATTGACAGCTAGCGATAAGCTCACTAATTTTAAGGTAACCTATCACATTTAATTTACAATAAAAATATTCAGTACACAATTAATAGATGGAAAAATAACAGAAATACAAGAAAACGAAGTAAAACATAACTGTTATATTTTCAGTGACACCAATAATTTCGACACTCGGAGACTGCAATTTTCGTGCAACCGACGGACGCTGCGTGTGACACACAACTGTTCTTCTAAATCCAAAAGCAAAGGGACCAACGTGGTTAAGGGCGATGAGGACGCGTGCGCTACCCCAATGGCTGCTAGATCCAAAATTATATACTATACGCCATCTATCTAGTGTTTTTACTCACAAACGTCGAATCAGTAATTAAAGAAAGAATAACTAGATAGAGTATATGTTTTCATTTTTCAACGATTATAATTTATGGAAAAAAAATTGTTTTAATAACTTTCACCCAGTGGTGTATTCTAAAAGTTAGATTTTGACCGCTTCTTGAACTATCTTCTATGGCTGCGGCAGTTAAAAAAAACATGCTATTTTTGACTTTATACTTTCAATTTTAATTTGCTATAACTTTTTGAAAAATGTATGAACATACATAATTATTTTTTTATAAATACTTTATACAATTCCCTTTCATTCTATATATATATATATATATACATATATATATTTAAATCGGACCATTTTCTTTTATACAGGAGGGGGTTCAAATCTTACTAAATCTTAAATATGGGTTTGTAACTTTTTAATCTACTTGACTTATACCCAAATATTAGGTTCAAAATCACTAGAATATTTATGATGAATTTACTTTAAAACGTTGTAATTTTAACGTTATATACGCAAAACAAAAAAAGAAATTATCAATAAACGTGAAACAATAAAAAATTTTAACATTGAAACAATTAACAATTTTAACTTAGCATAATGTTAAATGTTTATTATTAAAAGTAAAGTAAAGTTAGAATAAAAAATTTTTATAATAACATTCATTACTAAAATTAAATGTTATTAAAGCACGAGAACATTGTGTAAAAAAGAGCAATGCAAATTGATGATCTTTTTAGGTTTAAAAAAATATAGTAATGTTTGCAAACTTTTATAGTAATATATTTAATTATATAAACCAAAGAATAACGAATTTTTTGAAAATAATATGCAAATAAACACATACGTTTGTTTTAAATCGCAATTACAATATTTTTGTAAGAATAATGAAATATTGCTAAATGGCATAAGGTTTTAACTTGAGTTTNCACATACGTTTGTTTTAAATCGCAATTACAATATTTTTGTAAGAATAATGAAATATTGCTAAATGGCATAAGGTTTTAACTTGGGTTTTAATCCCTTTTTCCATCAGGATATTAATAAGGAACTAGCAGATCATGTAGCTTTTGGAATAATCCACCAATTTTTTAAAATTAAACACTTCTAAAGATTTGCATCGAAGCGTTTTTTTTGATACTGATTTATTCACTGTCAGATAGATATCATTATACTTGATCCAACTATGCCACGTCACCACTGTGCCGTGACCCCCTGTGCTGAGTTTTTTTTAATTATTTGCACCATACTGTAGGTCATGATGATGAATTTGAATTTTTTTTAATTTAATTTTTAGTAAAATTTTAATTTTATAATTTTTAATATAATTCATACTAAATAATGAGATTTTAGCCTATTTGTGTCAATATATCAATTATTATTTCTACCAATTTTCTAATTTTTATGGTAAATACTTACGTTATGACATTTGATTAAAGCTTAAAGGTTGTAAACTTGTCCCTAATATATCCTATATTTTTTCCTGATTTATTATTTATTTTGTTAAATATTTGCTTTTCAAAAACAATAGTATGTATAATTTAAAAAAAGATAGCATAGAGAGGTCGCAGCTCAGTGTGGATGTGTCATAGTTAAGACAAATATAGAAGATATCTGACAGTGATTAAAATCACTATCATAAGAAATACATTATTGAATAGAAAATTTTATGAGAATTAAAAAAAATGAAATTGTTAAGAGATTAAAATGCAGTAGGATATTTTATAATTACTATTTATAATAAATTTATCAGAAAATCTCAATATTTTTTTGCATTTTTATTCTTATAAATCATTTAAATAAAAATCATTTCTATGTAACTCATGGTATTAAAAAGATTCTACAATTAAAACATTTAAAACTTAATTAATTTTAATGATTTACTTTAACTAAAAAAACAATCAATAGGCTGTCAAAAAAATCTACTCAATTGAGTGTATTACACAATTTTATTATAATTGTAAAAATTCATTGTTAAATTCAGGTGAAATGAAATATCAATTTTTTTTTAGAAATGATTCATATAGCAATATGTTACAAAAAAATTGGAATATTAATTACTGGTAGTACACACAAATAGAGTTATGAATTGAATAAATTACGAAGTAAAATTATTTATTTTGTAGTTGAAACCTATTATTATATCAAACCTAATTCGACAATAAATACTTTTAAAATATTAGAAATGAATGATTTTAATGTTATGTGTAGACGTAGGGTAAAAACAGATATCTTTCACATATTTATTCCATAACCGTTTAATATGAACTAAAACATTTACAATAACAATATCACCTATACCCCTGTACAGGTGAGTGATCAGTGTGACCACTGGTACATCACATTTAATTGTCTGTATGAAGACACATTGTTTAAGTAACTGTTTAATTGATAAATTAGAATATTTTTCCAATTTTAGGGCAATATCTTCAAATTGATACTAATTGTAATAATTTGATGTGTCGTTGAAAAAAATAATTTAAGTGATAGCTGAGAAAATAAATGACAGCCCCCCCCCCCCCCCCAAAAAAAAAAAAAACACATAATAATATAATTGTAATATAAATAATAAAGGTTCTTCACACGAAAGGACACTACAGTGATGGGGTCTTTGATATCCATTGATGTTATTGAATCTAAATGAGATAAAATTCAAATGACTTAAACATTTTTTTCTAACTCAAACACCCTTTGTAAGATATTTAAAAATAAAATAAAATACAAAACCGAGAATTATAACACAAAAATAACATATATTTTTTAATACAGTAGCCATTTTCACAATGAAGACAAACTATAGTTCGAAAGGTTTTTTTTTTACTTTTTAAAATATATTACATAAGGTTTAATTTAAGATATATATAAAAGTGCCAATATTTCCGGAACACTTTCAAAAGTTAAGTTGAAAAAGTTCTACTTTCTACATGCATTTTTTAGATTTGAACCCCCCTCGTATATAGGGAAATGGTCCGATTTAAAAAAACAGTATGTCAAATGAAAGATGTATATAAATACTACTTCTCATGAAAAAATTGTATTGATCCATAAATTTTTCAAAGATTTATAGCGTTATAAAGTTCAAAATATGAAAAAGAATTTTTTATATTAACTTTGATGACTGATGAACTTTTTGTTGTCTGTTGTTGAACGAAAAAAAACATAGCACAGAGGGTCACGGCACAGTGGTGACGTGGCATAGTTGGATCAAGTATAATGATATCTGACAGTGAATAAATCACTATCAAAAAAAACGCTTCGATGCAAATCTTTAGAAGTGTTTAATTTTAAAAAATTGGTGGATTATTCCAAAAGCTACATGATCTGCTAGTTCCTTATTAATATCCTGATGGAAAAAGGGATTATTAAAAAATATTATTTCTATTAAAAAAATTGTGTTGATCCATACATTTTTCAAAAGGTTATAGCATAATAAAGTTATAAATGTAAAATACAAAATCGAAAATTTTCACATAAAAATAGCATTTGGTAGCCATTTTCACCGTTAAGATAAAATGATTTTTATGAAAATAATTTTTTTGGAGGTTTCCCCCATTTACGGTGAACGAAGGAAATTTTTTCAATTTTTGAGGGTAATTTCTTCGACTAGATACAATTTGTGATCTTTTGACGTATCATTGAAAGAAATCGGTTCGATGAGAGCTGAGAAAAATTGGTAACAGACACACAAAAAAAAACACATAATAAAACCAATACCTTCTCAGTTTCGCATCGAAGCTAATATAAAGTTTAAAGACGAAAATTAACGAAATTTTTTTGGTTAACGTAGGTTTTTTAAATGTTTTAAGTCAATTTTTAAATTAAATTAAGGTTTCAAAGGTAGTCTTATAATATTTTTTAATTCTGTAATCATTTTTTCTATGCCAAACGCTTCTCTCTACTTCAACTACCCACACTTAATTCTGTGTGTTACATCATCGTCAATATGTACGTTTATATATATATATATATAAACTAATTTACTAGATATAAGAAAAATTGCCAAAAACTGAAATTATTTCGGATCCTAGCAATAAATTAAATTTATATTTAATTAATTCATATATTTAAGAGATAAAATTATATTATACACTTGTACATTAAATTTAGGAAAAAAAAAATAAAAAAAAAACAACTTAATTTTATTTAGATAATTGTAGTAAGATCACTTCCAAGTATATAATTTTGTACCATATTTTATTATGTCAGGTTTTATTTAAAGATTTATTCTATAAGATTTAATACAGACCTGAGAAGATATTCACTTTATTACGTGTTGTTTTTAGTTTATAAATATTTTTGTTCTGTTTTTTATTTGAATATATGTTATTTATTGTGATAATAACATGAACTTTTATTAATGTTCTTCTATATTTGACAATTTATCTCATGATTTTAATGATAGAATGTACGGTTTTATCGATAAATTTAAATTAATATAAATAAGTTATTTTTGTATTTTATGTGAAAAATAAGAATAGTTAACAAATTTTGTATAAATAAAAAAAAATATTGAATTGACATTTAGTTAATATTAAATGTTCCATTTGTTACCCAAAAGAAAAAAATGTCTACTTCCAGAGGAAGAATTCAGTTTAATATTGTAATTGCAACATGCTTTTTTTTCAATTTTATGATAAAATTGTCTTGTACGTCTACGTCTAACATTGCATCTAACAACAAACTTAAGGTAAATTTTTAATATTTTAATATTATAAATATAAATAATGATTTATTATCTTTATTTTATCCGTATATATATATTTCTATTATTTATTTATATACTATAAAATTAATAATAATAATCATTATTACTCTTAATAGATTAATTTTCTGTATTTTTGAAATTAAATTTGTTTAGCTATCAGGAATAACTCCACAGAAGTATAAAATAATTAAAAATCGACTTTCTGATAAAAATATTACATTAGATGAAATAAAATCCATATCGGAAAAATTAGGTTCAGGTAAAAGTTATACAAATCCATAAAAATTAAATTAATCATTTCAGAAACGACACAAGTAATAAAATTATAAGTTGATGAGGTATTTAAAAATTAAACTGTAAAATAAGTAACTTGTGTAATTTTGAAATAATTCTAACTTATTGTAGCCGATATTTGTCTTAAATTAAAATTTGACACGGTTTTTGTATTTACATACATTATCATAAATTTTGGAAAAACAAAATTTTTAAAAATTGATGAATTATGTCGTTTTTAAAATGATCAATCAAAATAAAATACCAAATTACTGATAAATTTTATAAATAATTGTAGGCGATATTAATGGTCCAGTTCAAATTAGTTCAGGTAAAAATTTTATAATATACATAATAATTAAAAAAAAATCCTTTGTTATATATTTGTTAATTAAAAACGTTTATTTTTCTTAGCCTCTTTGTGTTCATAGCATTCATTTATTCTTAAAATAGCCTAATAAAAGTACCAATTTAGAAGAGCAAAAATAAACTACACAAAATTTGTATTTCATATTCTACGTTCACGAATAATTATTTTATTATTATGATAATATTATTATGGTATAAAATTTAAATAATATAACACGTCAATAATACATTTTACTACAATGCATATCAATAGAAACATTATTTTTAATACATTGTTTCAATTATTTTTTAAAATAATGATTGATTTCTTAGACTACGTTTAAAGATATTTTTTATTATTTACTAGGGCTCGCCTAACCTGGCATCCGCGCCGGACACAGAACCCTACAAGCTTCACGAGCTTTCGGCGCTTAAGCTTTTTTAGGCTATCCTCATAAGTAGGCTACTGATAAGTGTTTTGGAGGAAAATAATTACACCTGAATCAGTATAACAAAAATATAGTAAAAATTTAATTATTAAAATCAGGAAAATTCAAAAAAAGAAAATAGTCAAATTTATTGGGTATAAGATTAAGATTTGTTTACTGATGTAAACAGTCAGGGGCGAATTCAGAAATAATTTTAGGTGGATATTTAATTTTTTTTTTAATTTGGTTAACATGCTACAGAAATTGTTTTGCTAAAAATCAATGTGATGATCAAAAAAAAAAAATCTTTATAATATATTTCTTAGATATTGATAGGGCTGGTCCAAGGGGAACAATCGCCTATATTCCCCTTAAATACGCCCTTTGTCTATACAATAATTAATAATATTGAAATTATAATGATTGTGTTGATATTATAGAATAATTGCAGATAAATTCGACAAGTTATTATTCCTAGGCTATCTAAAAAATTTAATTTTAATAAGAATATTGAATACTGTGATTTGACGTTGTACAGCATAATTGCCATAGATGGGTTCCTACTTTTACGATAAACTCATAGACTTATTCTGCATATATAAGATAAATAAGATTATTAATATGTTGCATTGTCCTGATAATGTATTTTCAAACTTAAATTCTTATACCGTTTGAAATTTAGATATAACTTATCAAACATTCATTCACAAGATATACAAAATATGGGCGCTAATGCAATATCGTATTCTAATATAAACTCAGCGTAGACATAAAAAAATTTCAAAGCGAATGAAGTATTTTTGAAAATTAAGTTAATTATAAAACATGAATTAAGTTCAAACAACTTAAAAAATATATAACAATGAATTTAGATAAATTGTATCAATATATTTTGTATTATAAACTTAATTAAAAGAAATTTATAGAAAATATCATAATAGTATAATTAATAAAATAAACATGTAATATATAAATAACTAACATAGTATCAGACAAAAAAGGTTGTCAATAATTTAACCCAATACATATATGACAACTATAACATATATTAATGAAGAAAATAAAAAAACCTTAAAAAATCATATTTTACAAATCGAGGGTTAAAAAGAGTGATTTTTTATCACAATTCACTCAATTACTTACAAATAAAAATAATTTAAACATTTTTTTTTTTTTTTGGTTAACTTTAGTTACATATTATTCTGGGATTATTAGCTATGTAATACTTTTTAAGTTCATCCCTTATGTCTTACAAGGGTGTCAACTTTTTTTTTTCAAATGAAAACACATATTTTGAATAAGAAAAATGTTTGAGGTTTTATTTTAATAGTAAATGACATTTGAGTTTTTAACATAACATAATTTGTTTATTAGATATACTTAAAAGTTTCAATTTTTTGAATCAATATACATGTATAATACATGAAGGATTACAAATATAGGAAACTAATTGGTTTTTTATGGCGTCAATATTCGCAGATGCGCAATATTTGTGATCAATGGTAGTAAGGCACATTGTTGAGAGTTTATAAATACACCAACTGGCAATACAGAATACATATCTATTGATAGTCATAATTGGCAATATACACACCAAGACTAATATACAAATAAAGTTTTATTAAAAATTCAAATGCCATTTTCTAATACTTTAAAAACTCAAAAATTTGTTCTCATTTGAAAAATTAAATTAATTGACACCTTAACAAGGCATGGGATAAACTTAAAAAGTATTAAATAGTTAATAATTCAGGAATAACGTGTAACTATAACCAAAAAAAAAAAAAATTTTTAATTATTTTTATTTTTTAAGTATCAGAAAAGGGTAATGATCAAAAAATGTCACCATGAATAAAAATAAACGAATATTTTTTATTTGAAAAAAATGATCCTGTACCTGTGCAAAAATAAGCCAATACCCTTATTTAAATCATGATCGTGGACTTTAAAAAAAACAACTTGTAGACGGTATAATGAATGGACTAAATTTTTTTGTGATATATCAAAAATGTCATTGGGCGGATCTCATGAAAATTTGAAACCATAAGTTGTAAAATCCTGGCGTCAGCAAGCGGCAAAATGTTTTGACCTTTGCCAATAATATACCTAGAATTTTGTTACCGAGTACTTTCGTTGAAAAAAAAATTTTGAAAATCAGAGCACGCTAAGTAATTTTCAAAGAATAGCGTTTTTTTCTTTGTTTTATTATACAATAAGATTACAAATAAGAATAAATAAATATTTTTTCTTATTTAAAAATAAAAATTGATTCTTTTCATTTTTAAAATTTCATAACGGCCATTTTTAGCCCTAATTTTACAGAAAAATTTAGATTAAGTGCTTATTGAGTTACAAACAGTGGTGTTTTCGTAAAAAAAATTTATGTAGTGTATATACTTATAAATGAGCTGATCCTAAATACTTATGACGTTCCACCTTACCTCAAACATCCTCACTTACTATTACTAATATTTCTCAATGTATTCTATTTATTACTTATTTTATACAACACATAATATAAATTTATTATACAACGTGATCTGTGAATCATAAATCATTTGATTACTCGTAAAATAATAATTAATTTGAAAATATTATTTTTTATCAATTTGTTTCAATTACATATAATTCTCTACTTTTCAACAATTAATTATTTTTTCGGTTCATCCTTTATGTATTAAAGGGGTATCGACTTTTTTTTATAGAAATTTACATTATTAACTAGATTATAAAATAGAAAATAATGTAATTAAGCTATAACTTAATCTGCATTATTTTTTTTTATTTTAGTCAAGTATATTTAAAATTTAATGTAATAACTTTATATTAATAGAAGTATAAAATAAATTAAACTACTGTCAAAATAAAAGGAAATTATTTACATTTAAAATACATTTTTATTCTTCTCTCTGACTACCCCTAAAACCTAAAAATTCTTGTAACTCAATGAGTACTAATCCAAATATTGTTATCGACTTGTCAACATAATTCTAAGAAAATAGCTAAGAATGGTTATTATGAAATATTGAAAATTTTCTTTTTTATTATTTTGTTTTTTATTAGTGGTTAATAATAAAAAAAACATTATTTAAATGTTGTCTAAGAAGGCAACAACTATTTAAAAAATAATTTTTAGCAAAATAATAATTGTATGAAAAGTTACATGTGTTGTTAGTTAATTCTGAGACTCTCTGTACTTAATCATTTGTTTATTCAAATAAAAACATTTTGCACATTTTTTTTAGAAAAATATTGTAAAGATATACACAAAGATTTGGTGCATAGTTTGGCCAATAAAATTAAAAAACCTAGCTTATCACAAGAAGACTATCATAAAAAATTGGAAAAATATTTCGACGGCTACAAAAGTGATTACTTACCATTGTTTAACGTGCGCAATTTTTTGAGAAATATTAATGGAGAGATCGAACCCAAATACTTAGATAATATAATTACCGCATGGAGTCTTAACCATGTAATCACGAAAAATGCTCCAATGTGGTAATTAAATTTTTTTCCTTTTTAAAAAAAGTATAGAATTATCAGTTTATTTTAAGTTATACGCATTTTTAATTATTTAGATTTCGAAAATGTTAAACTTAATAGAGTCACTATTTTTGTCTTAAGACATTTTTTTTAACCAGTATTAAGCTGAATTTTTATTATTTAATAATAATATAGATCTTTTTTTCGTAGGTGTTCATTAGTTTTCGTAGACTTCGAGTTCTTTTCGTACATAAATAACACTACGTTGGTGTTTACAGGAGCTTTAGGGACATTCCATGACCCTGAAATTACCATGCTTTCTGGACCAGTGTGGGAATTTGACTTTACATCGGGTTCAATATCAGTGTTTCATGAACAAAATGCTAAACGTTTTGAAAATAACGCTAATCGAATATTAAAAAAGAATCCAAATCTTCTCAATACTATGATTAAGTGTTTTAGAGACGCACTTAAACGTCCAAACCGATATCTTAACTCAAATTTTGTGAACAATTATATTCAGCTACAATCTCCAAATCCAATCATGGTGGCCTACAATTATAATACTGATAAAAACATTTTTGATCTTCTAACTCAGAAAAAAACTGTTAAGTGGCTAAATATTTTAGGCTACAATTGTTATAATAACAAAGAATTCTACTTGCTATTAAAAGCTTCTCATCGCATGAGCTACTTGCAAATACCACTTGGAACACGGGAAAAAAATGGTCGAATATTATCACTAGGAGAAGTACACAGTTCTTGTTGCAAGCAAAATCACCAAAATGTAGAAGCCCACGATGGAAAAACTGACGTATTGTTCTTACAGTGTATAATGAAGTATGCAAGAGACTACAACAGCTTGCAATTAGAAATGTATCTTTCCGATGTAGAGTTAATTACCCAAGAAAAAGATTGGGATATAAAAATGTTTTAATTTTTATTGAATTTAAAAAGGTCTATCTAAATTTTTATAAAATTTAAAAAATATTTATTATGGATAATTAACCGTTAACCCTTCATTAGGTAGGTCGGGTCTATCAGACTTAAATATTTTCTTTTTTTGTTTCATAATTGTTAAAATATATTTCTAAGTATGTCTATGTAATTGTTATTCACATTTGAAGAAATAAAGTTTTACCATACAAAAGTAAAATCGATTTAATTATATGGGTCTATCAGACCCAAGGTATCTATTAACATAACATTTTTTCACCTACCTAATGAAGGGTTAATATCAAAGTTATAATGTAAATTATCTATATTTTAAGGACAGTAATACTTTATTTTAAATGTTTCTATTAAGAAAAAATTTTGTTATACATCTAATACATTTTGTTTTTAATTTTAACTAAATAAAAAATTTAACTTTTTTTTACAATTTTTAAGCCAACTAACAATAATTAAGGCTGGACAAGTCAATGATTTTTTAATTCATTAAAATAAAGTTAATTAAAAAAAAGCAATATAAAGTTAAAATGTAATATTAAAGATTTATCTGTTTTTCTTTTAAATTAATTAAGTTAAAAGTATAGTTGACAAAATTTCATTAACTTATCGAGTTGAGTTAATAAGGAAGTTATACAATTGAAGCACATATAAGTTGTAGTTATTTGGCTATATAATAACTGAGTCAGAGATTTTGAACTAATTGAGTTAATCAATTTAAGATTTATAAAAATTCGAAATTCCCGATAGTTGAATTCCATAATGTGATAATACCTGTCTCAATTAATAAATTTTACTTTTGTGATATTCGGAATTTATTGGTGATTTTTACTGTTACTTGGAGCAAAGTTAAGTTGCAGTGGCACAGCCGTGGGAGGGGGTTTAGGGGTTGTAAACCTGAAATAATTTGCGAAATTAAAATTTTTAGTTATAATCATTAGAGAGTACTTTCGGGGGGAGGAGTTATCGATTTTTTTTGTTTTGTTTTGTTTTTTGAGCATTCTTAAATAGCATTAAGAGTAGTTTGGTGAGGAAACAGAAAGAAAAACGGTAATAACGCACCCCGCTTTCCTCGAAATTATTTTCAGATGATGCTACTGCTCTATTTGTAATTTTTTTGTGACTTAATTGGAATTTATTTTTTTCTTATTCAAGTATAGGACTTAATTGAAGTACACCAAATTATATAAACCAAAACATTTGAAAAACGAATTTTTAGTTGGACAGCAACGTATGTTCCCGATAGGGTCCTATTAGTTGCTATACTGTTCTTTAACGAGACTACGCTGGCCCTACATAAATTATAACCCAATAGAAGGGCTGTTAATGGTTTCGTGACCAATAAAATATAAACTGTCAATTAACATCGATAAAAAGTGTTTATTCCTATATAATGTTTATTCCTAGTAATTCATATGAGGTGAGTCAACGGTGGCAAACATTCTCAGAAATCCGTTAAAAATACTAAAAACAATAGCGATAAGCGGTTTAAGTTAATGAATAAGAATGAATTGCCGCGAAAGTGGTAAAATGTCGACTGTGTTCAACGTGTTTTGAATTAATTAAAATAAGTTAATATGTTGTATGAATCACATGGTTTTAGTCATTAAAATAATAAATTAAAAATTATGTAATTTTGAGTGGTAATATCGGTGTTAACCAAGATTAATCATATTGGTTAATTTTTTTTTTACCGATACTAACGTAATTATTCCCCTTCAAAAATAGCAAAATTTATAATCGAACAATGAATTGTCCCCCACCGGTGGTAAACTTTTTTGGAGTTAGATAAATACACTACTAAGATCATACTTATAAATCTGTTTTCGACAGCAGAATATATTTATTACTTTTTAGTTTATTTAAATTTCATTTTTTATTAAAATAAATAACACAAAACTTAATTATAGTACTGTAGTGAGGTAGTGCTATGTAAATAGAGAGTTTGAACACACAACTAGAGTGCGACACAAATTTAATTATACCTATTTATTGATAGTCAACTTTTTGACAAGGGGCTAGTTTACGTGATTTTTCTAAAACAATATAAGCATAACTAAATAAAAAGTTATATATCTCTTTAAGAGTTTTTATATATCTTTCAAATACCGAAATAAAAATTATGCTGAGATTTCAGTTTTGGTTACGGTTAAGTTTTCAATGTTTTTATTTTTAAGTTTTATATAAGTTATAGTTTTGTAATTTCAAAGAGTTTCGATTTAAAACCCGTTTTTTTTTTTTAATTTGGGTTCCGATCCCGGATTAAAATAGATTTATCACATAATTTATTTACATACTTAATACAATAAAGTGAATATTGTCCTGTGAAAAGAAATTACTAAAAAAATTATATTAAAAATTAAGGTCACTTTAGACATAACAACTATTGGAATATTACTAGTTAGAAGAGGATGCAGTATGATTACACATTTTTATTGGAATTTTAATGTCTCTATAATTTAATTCATTTCATTCATTCAAGCAATTATTTTTTTGATAAATAATGAAACATAAATTAATTAATTTGTTCTTAAATTGATTATTAGATATTTACCATCGTAAAATAGTAATAACAAAAATGTCCACTCAAAATTAAAAAATAAACTTCTACTATTAAGTGAATTTTCTATAAGTTATTCTTTCTATAAAAATTAACTTACCTGACTATTGGGTTGCTGACCTAAAAGAAAAAATTGATTGATTACTTGTATGTATTTCTTTTCCTTCCATCGAAATTCTTTACCTAGTATCCGATTATCCAGACGATTAGACTCGAGTTCATTAATTACGCGTTTTTTTCTCACCGTCACCGTTCTTCTCATTTAACAAACTTGGCAAAACGTTTTTGGAAAAAGGACCCATGACATCATTAATCGTGTACACTTGCTGATACATTCTTTTCTGTATGACTACTCTTTGCACACTTTTTTAGGGGCTATTCACTGATTTATTTTTCTGAAAAAGCCATTTCAAGCATAACCAACCCCAGAATACAACTTTTATGCAATCATTTAAAACTAAATTTTCTTAAATAATCATTATTTTCTATATAATTTTTACTAAAAAATTCAGTTTAAACATTTTTCACTAATTTTTAGTAATAAATTTGATAAAACTTAATAATAATACCTAATTTATTTAATTTCACTTATATATAAATTCTGGCCATTTTGATCTCTTTATACTTCACCTTTTTTTGTTTAGTTAACTAATTTTTATTAGGAAAATTACTTTAATGTATTATAATACAAAATACACTAATATATTTTACTATTAACACGCTAGCATTCTCAAATTTTTATTGTGTACATTTAAGATAATAAATTGACAGTATTACTAAAAAGTTTTATTTTGGACTTTTCAAATAATAAATACATAATTACGCAATAGAAATTTTAAATAAAAAAAAATTAAGAAACATTTTATTAGATAATTTTTATTAGACTAAATCATTTGATAAGTCTAATAAAAACAATTTTAGTTTTATTTTAATAACTTTATTATATACGAATTGGTACTAAAATATAAGAGAGATATTTGAACACCAGGTTGTTAATAAGTAAATATAATACAAATGTATAAGAAATAGAAAAATTAATATGTAATCCTGAAAAAGCAAATTATTTAACTTAATATTTTGTGTAGCAAAATAACATATCAAATTTTAGTAGCATTGCTATAAATAAATATTATTCTTTTAAGTATTAAATACCTCAATGCCTAAATAACTAACTTGAAAGCATTTTCACTGACTTACTGAACACCCTATATATATATATATATATAGGTAAAAACATAGATTTTCATTCAAACTATAAGTTTCCTATACTCTAAGATACATATAAATAGTATTTTTAGGTTAAAAAAATTTTTTTTTTATTTTAAAAGTAAAAAACTTTCACTAATACAGTATGTATCACGAATCATATCATGTAAACCTTTTTGAAGGGTTAATAAGTTTTCATTAATTTCTAGGATATTTTGAGTTATATTTTATTTAAAATGTATTAAACAACTATTCAATTTGTAAACGACATTTAGATTAATTTCATACCATAACCACCCCTTTCATATTTCAGCTATTTTTGGAAAATATTGAATCGCTCTTAGAATTATTGGTTTTAATTTGAAAGTAAGCCTTAAGGAATGTGTGTTTGAAAATTCCTCACAAAAATGGGAAATACTTGGTTACAGCAACCTTTAATAAAACAAAATCTACTATTTTATTTCATTAAAGAAAACAAGAGATTATTTATCACATCTTAATATCATTAAAAATTTTAAGAAATCTTAATTGTTATAAATAATTATAACTTATTTATGAATAATAAACTAGTAAAATTAATATTGATGGACACTTAATGACCATTTCAATTTAATATAAATTAAAACATTGAGCTTAAAAATAAGATAATTCAAGTTTTTATGCATTATTCAGTAAAAACACGTTTTGGTACTATGAATAATACAAAAAATACAAAATATTGAAATTACAAAATAGTCACACAATGCAACATTACTATAAATTCATTATCCGTGTAGCTTTGGGAGAGTACAAGGATTTCTTTTCTAAAATTAATGTTCTATTCATGAAACTCATTTAACTGAAAAATTATAGTTATTATGAATCATTTTGTGTGTCAAGCTATGCCTTTGCAAGCATTTCACGAAAATTTCATTCTACAGCATTATTTTCACCCATAAGTTTCACGTATCCTGCTATTTAATTAAATAGAATAGCACCCCTTTAAACGCACTAACACATTAATAATAATTGCCCCTCACACCAATTACCGCATTTTTGTGGTTTTCTTTCTCAGACGCAGTCTAACATGATATTTTTGACACGTGACTAATCTCAATTAAACATTTAACATTATTGAGTTTAAGCAAAAATGTGTAGAAATCAATTAATGCATTACTTAAGTTTTTCATTAAAAAAGTTTATGGATTATTAATGTATTTAATTAATCAATTATTTATATACTGACATAAAAAAACAGTTTGTTTAGTGATCAAGAATAATTTGATGTTACTGAATAATTTAGAAAATTTATTATTCACAGATTTTTATGCTGTAAAGTTAATAGTCTAAATTACAAAAACCTCATTATTAAAATGCATACAGTAATTAAAATGAGCAATGTTTGGAGAATAACTACGATTATCTCCACACTATGCATTACGAATGAAAAACATATAAAAAAAAACTAGGTAGTCATTATTTTCACAACATTTTTTTAATTATACCGAACAGTATAATTCGTCCTTTATCCCCTAGGTGCGCTCAATTTAACATAAATTCAATTAACGGGAATTCCTATGTGAATGTATGGTGCAAAAGAAAATGCACAGAAATAACAAATACAATAAACAGGATAATGAAAGGAATTCAAGGGAGATTATAACGAACAGACGACAAACGATGAATACCATTTTTTCTATTCTCTGTGCATTTTGCTTCTTTTGTTTCTTTTCATGCATTTTATTATGGTAGGTTATGAATGACACTAGTATTTAATCGATACGAAACATGTATATAACAAAATGATGAAGAATGGATATGGAAAAGTCTATCGTTTTGCACTCTAAAGACTTTTAAAAAGGCTCTTTTACTTTTCCCTATCGCATTTATTGTTTCCCGGTTGCTTTTTACTCACTTAAATTTACATAACCTCGATCCTATTGAAAGTGAATAGTACTTAACCGATAATGTTGATAAGACGTTTACTTCTATAGTATTATTTTCAATATATCTTTTATTGAAATAAAAAACCAAGTGTTAAATATAAAATGTCAACTATCTGAGTATTTATATGCATAAATATATTTAATATTTAAAATAATACAACTTGTGCATTAAATACAGTAATATTGATGTTTAACGAAAAAAAATCCTACTGCAGGAATTAATTCCACAATCTTATCGGACAAATCTATTTTAATACAGAGATATTTTTAAAATTATTCAGTAGTAAAAATATTTTTAGAATTTATACGTTATTAATTAATATATTTTGTATTATTAATATGTCCAAAAACTTTTATTAGATAATAAATTAGCTATTATTCAAAGTTACACCAGTTTATAATACAATATATTATTACAATGTCATAATATATTATTTTAATTTTAACTAACGATATTATATAAAATCGCATTAATGTATTAGGTGCATTAAATAATAAATTTCTATTACAGTATCAAAAAGATTAATAAACTGAATTTCTCTGAATAAAAAATAGATTATCGTGTTTTTTTATTTTTTCCAATAATTTTTATAAGATCAAATTAAATCTTGAATATCTATGGTTAATAACCATAGCAAGCAATATTTATTTACAAAATAACAATGTACAGTAACTTCTTATAAAAATTGTATAGCTTTATTTTATTAAAATTATTTCTAAAAGGTAAAAGTGTATTAAAAAAAAGAAAAATGCTCTTGTTTTTTTGTAATCATTTTAAGTTAAACGTATAAAATATGCAAACTGAAAAAATTTGTTTTCTCAAGAATGAATAACGACGTATCATCAAGACGAGGTGACAAGTACAATATAAGTTAAGGAGTAACAAGTCATCAATAAAAGAACACTTCATGCTAGAAGTAATAAAATATAGTTTTCGGGGAATTAAATTTTTATGTTTCTTAAATATGCAAATTATTAAGAGATTTTATAAATGAATTTCTGATAATACTATGTGAATTTAAGGTGCTACTTAACTCTATGTGTATTTTCAAACTTGAGCTTTGTAAAAGTCTAGCTAAATAAACTTTACTTAAATGAAATTTGTTTGAATTATGCTGTATTTAATTAATTTATTCTATTGCATTACTTAGTAGATGACAAAATACTATTTGATTTTATCAAATTATGTTTCGAAAAATTTAAATTATTAAAATACCATAGTTATTATAGTTGATTATATATAACTACCTGAATTTATAATAAAAACGACGGTATGATGAATAATTTTATTTTAGTATTGGGGTGAACACTGAAAGGGGAGGAACTAATTTCTCAGGAACGGCCCTTGTGGCTATATACTAACCGAAGTCGGCTTGTTTTGTTAATACCACTGTAATATTATGTTAACTCGATTTACTGATAAAACCCGTCATAATTTTGTGCTAACGCAATCAACAAGAGCTTCTCGGTCCTCTGTCATTCTATGAGTAAAACAAACAAGAACACCTTGTCAGCGTTGCAAATTAAGCGGTACCGCTGCAGTGCAAAATATGTAAATTGTTTAACCTACCACCATCAAAATAAAATGTAGTGAAAAAAGTTATATCAGTACAAAAAATTTAATGTCTACAATATTTTCATGAGGGAACTAATAACGTTTTAAATGTTTATTTACATTTATTACTCGACTTAAATATAGAACGATGAGATTACAAAGTCAAAAATGTATTGATGAAAACCTGTTTTGTAATTCAATGTTCTTATATACTATTCATAAAAATTCTGCTGAAAAATTACTGCACTCATATTTGGATAAAATTAATTTTCATAACTGAAATCTTTTCTATTAAACATTTTGTTGTTATTGGAATTTCGTAAACACGGCTATGTAATATGAACGACGCCCAGGAATTTAAGCTGTTATGAGAGCATAAGGGCGAAATTACACTCTATGCTAACTATGATAGACAGGGCGTGGTTTTGTCGATTTATCAACGTTTCAGAAGCGAGACAAGGGGCAAAAGACTTTGACAAATGATCGACTAGCTTCGAAGGCTAAACTAAGACCTGAGCACTACATGACCCCGTCAGTTAATATGTGCATGTATTGGTGTTGTCAAAGGACTACCGTTAATTTCTCAAAATGTTAAACGTTATTGAAAACAACCCTTCCCTGTAAATATTTCTCGCTATCACTCTACCACTAGTTTTCCTAATAACTTTGAGAGGTATTTGCAATGCACTTTAAAGCGAGTGATTGACGTGTTTTCAAGAGAGAATTTTTTAAATAAGGCATTAATTTCGATGAAAACTATTTTTCATTACAACAGTTGACGGCGTAAGTTTTAAAAATAATTCAGAAAAAATAATCATTTCCAACATAAATATTTGTTAAAAGCTACCTTAAAATACTTTCATAGAGAATATGAATTTCCCTTTAATTTTTCTAAAGAAATTTATAAAGTCAAAAGATTTTGCCACGGATAATGGTAGCCTTTAATAGAATAATAAGTAAATCCATTGTTAAACAAGTGACACGGTTTTAAATTAAAATTTAAGTTTCCTAGAAATTAGAAATATAAAACTTATGTACTTTAAAGCACGTAAAATGTTTCAAAATTATAATTGAAATTAGAATGATCAGATATCGTTGCAGTCAACAAAAAATAAAAAGAATTATTCAGCTTTATTTTTAAATCTCGAGATTTTCTTGATAAAATACAATAATAAAGTGAACGCCGTGGAAGAGGATCTTATTTCGCACCAACGAATTTGTCGTATCTTATAACGATGAAAAGCACATTTTAAAGTGTTGAATATCTTTAGAAATGTACGGACGTGGCAGTCGTTGAATTTATTGAATACGGTTGAGCAGTTATATCGATTTATGTAAAGTATACTATTATAATGTATGCCACATGTGTATATTATAATAGTATATGTTGTCATTTATTCACTAGTAGTTCAATCAAAATATTTATTCATAATACTACAATATTATACTAGTCAAAATGCGTAAATACCAGACAAGTTTTTCAGTGACTTCGTTTTGGTTTCTGAGAAATTCGCACAACATCAGCTTTTACTTCATCGTCGTTTTCCGTCCCCTTTCAATTAAAATTCCCGTAATGAATCTTAATATCTTGAAACTTTTTAGATTTTGAAAATTAATTTCCATGTCCCATGGCTTTGATGCGGTCTTGTGGTGTATGCAAATCTCTTGGGGCTTTCGTCGATGACATGATGAATTCTACTTGTGCCTCTTAAGAAATACGGTATTCGTTTTCATAATCGGGTTTCTTCCGTTCAAAAGATCGACAAAGGTCTTTGTCAAAAAAAAGTTCACTTAGTTATAACGTTCAAAGCTCCGTTATCTTTTAATAGAATCCGCATTATGACTATAAGTTTTAATTACAGCTCTCTATGGTTTAAAATCTTGAATTCTATTCTCAGCAGCTCTTAAACTAAAGAAAACCTCAGTAAGACGATTTAATAGCCAATATGACCACTTATGTGTACATCCTTAAAACCTTATTGCTGTAGTGAATTTAATAATTATTTTCTGTTGCGAGATTTACTAAACTCTAGATAACGATAGTAAGGTATATAAAGGCTATTTTAATTAAACAAAAATTGAAATATTTTATTGAGATTGTGTATTAAAAAAAACAAACAATAGCTTAACAAATTTTAATATTATTCATCTTGAACATAAATTGTTAAGTTAGGATCAGCTTTGTATAACTTTAAAACATAACGAAAATTTTTTCCATAAGTTCCTACTTTTTGTGAATTCAGAGGTTGGATGACTTCGTTTAGTTTCTAAAAAGAAAGAAAGAAAAGTTAGAATATTAAAAATTAAAATATGACATGTATATAGAAACAAAAATGTTGATAGCATTATTTGTGTAATAAAAACCTAACATTGAAAAATTCTATAAGTTCAATCTTTGGAGAATTGTTTAGGCTAACCGTTTAAATTAAATCTGAGATCTCTCAAAATTATGGAACTTTCATGTATTTTTATAAACGAGCATTTTTTAAAAGGTTAGTTATAAAAGATTTGATTAAAGTATGCTTATGAATATTTATACTTAAACATTATATACATACTTAATTATAACTTTGATTATAAACACAATTAAAGGGAAGATAAGAAAAGGATTAGTCTCACTAGTTGAGGAATTAGTTCACCCACAATTTATAGTTGTCATATAATAATGTTTTTAGGGCGGGGAAAAAATAAAATTAGCATCCTCAAAAATTATATTATATTTGGTGGCTCATGCTTACATCTAAAATATCAGAAAAATCATTAATATTATCGGCAATTAATTGATTTGTAGATTCTTTTGTGCACTCTCTTTTTACACAATGTGAAATTTTTCTAGCATTTTTCAATCCAATTTCTTGAAATTTTGAAAATATTCGGGCAACACCTACTGCTTTGTGCTTTAAATGTTCTCTCGTTTTTGTACTCAAACTTTTTATGAGATCAACGAGCAACTCATTGATTTTTGCAATTACCTAAAATATTTTTATGATACAGTGAATCAAATAAATTCGGACATCATCTAAAAAAATTTGCATGTATTTAAAAAACACTTAAATATCTTTAAAAATGTTTTCTATTATTAAAAAAATATTTGAACGAGTGAACTAATATTTAAGGTTTGTATGAGAGTGGCAGTTAAAAAGTAAAATTATTTTTTCTAGACAATGTTTAAATGAATGCTTACATGACTTATTGAATTAATACAAAATAAATAAATAAATATATATAATTCGATCAAATGTATTCTATAGTTATCTAAATAATTAAAAATAAAATAATTTTTAGCTTCTATGCGAAGTGGAGAAGGTCTTGGTTTTGCAATGAAGTGTGTTTTTTTATGTCAGTTCATGAAAATTATTAACTTACACTAAACGGATTTTAATCAATGATGTATCAATAGAACCCTATTTTAATGCAGTTGAACATAACAATGCTTAAAATTGAAAAAATTCCACAATTTTTAAAATTTAATCAAATATGTCAGATTTTTAAAAGAATATTTCCATATTTTAAAAATGTATTTTAGTATTTCTAACATTTTTGTAGAACACTGACACTTTTGAAATTTTATTAAAATAAACTAAATAACAATAAGCTTTTTCTTGGTATGCTATTTATAAAAATCCAATGAAAAAACTAAGTACAGTAAAATTAAAAGAGACCACCCAAACAATAATTCAAAATATCAAAAAATATTATTATAATAAATATTTACGGGAGTCATGGTAATTATGCAACCCAACTGTACTAAACATTAATATACGAGAGGTTTCTCCAAAAATATGTTCTCTAGGCTGTAAAAAATAGACAATTATATAAAAAAAAAAACATGATACTTTATTCGAATTCCTAGCTCAAAAACTATTTTTTTTACATAATCATCCTAGACATCAATGTATTATTGTAATCGATGTGATAGTATTTCCAAGCATTGTTCAAAGTGTTCTGTGCCCACCAGCCTGAAGTAGGTATGGTGACTTTCTTGCTTTGCTCTTTTAGGAATTAAGTGATGAACCTATGTCTCGTCGCCTGTCACGATATATCTAAAAATTGCACCCCCTCCAATTCAAGCAATTCAAAGAATTTTTAAGCGGCAGCACCCAGTTTTGTTTGTGTTCACTGTTCAAAAAACGCGGAACCCAACGTGCCAAACTTTATTGTAACTAATTTGATTATTATTTCTGATATACTCATCACGTTATTATTTTACTGAGCAATCCGAATAGTATAATAGTTTTATATATCATTTGAAATGCATGAATAAATGACGAAAACCGAAAAAGATAAGAAAAATACAACAGATCTTTAAAACTAATATAAATTCATTTTCGTTATAAGTAAAAAATTTAAATAACTAAAAGTACATTACTATTTTGAATTCTTTTGAAACAATAACTTTTGTGAATTTATGCACTAAATCATGGCCAATCTTAGCTAAATCACGAATGACATTGTTCAATGCTGCAGTAAAAGTCACATTTGGTTTTACGGTCTGAACTGATGCCACCTGTAAGTATTAACGTCAATATTAATCGTACACAACTCGAAATATTAAATAAATAAATAAATTACTTGAGTTAACAGTGCAAATAGTAGATTAATTATTATTAATAATTTCATGTTAAAGTAGTATGTTTAATATTGTACTCATAAAAATATAGATAAAATCTTTATAAATTAAAGTTTAAGGAGATAGTACATGATTAAATACATTTAATTGACTATGCATATTCATATTGTGATGAATTACTTTGACTCTTGGACTCAATTATACTTAGTACCATACGTATAATAAACACTAAATTGTCCCCTCCATTTTTTGTACAACGCAAAATTGAAATTCATATATTTAATGAAAAATAAACGTTATATAATTTGATAAATTGAGTAAATGACGGAAAACTTAAAAATTATAAATTATTAAAACAACTATTCAATGACTCATGAATACTAGAACTTGATTTACAATCTGTGTATTAAATAATCACGAATAGACCAAAGCTTTTATTTGATATGTATATTATACGAAATTAACATTTAAAATTTGTATCACTAATACTGATTAAGTATATTTTTAAGAAGTTGAATTTAATAACAATCAGATAAATATATTGAGAATAAATTAAAGTTGAATGATTTATAAGATTATTGATTTAAATAATATACAATTATATATATTATTACTTTTATAATATATATAAATTATATTTTATATTATTTTTTAGTCTATTTGTTTAAAAATCGTGTAATTGTTTCCTTTAAATTAATTAACAAAAACAAATATAATCTGTATATAAATGAAGGGTGATTTTTTATCATAATCTACTCATTACTCACTTAATAATAATAAAAATATTTATTATAAATTCCTTGAACAGATTTCTTATCTGTTATAAATTACTTTTTAATATCATCTCTTATAACTAATAGAGGTTCCAACTTTTTTATTTCAAATTACAATATATATATATATATATAACTTATATAATAGGGTGTAAACTAATTAAGAAAATGACAGGCCAATAACTATTTTTGGAATAGTAATTCTGAAATTATAATGATTTTTAGATTTTGATTAGGAAGAATTATGGGTATGACTATTTACATGATTAGATATTTATCGGTCGTACTCATCCTCCAATGTAGATAGATACACACACACATACAAATATGATGATGCTAAACAATAGTTAAAAATTGATAAATCAAGAAATACAGTATATGTATATAAATATATATATATATGTAACTAAAGGAAACCAAAACATTTTTTTTTCGTTGTATATATATTGTGAGTAAATTTTATTGATTCAAACTTTACAAACAGAAAATAGTAAAACTTTGAATAATGTAAGAATTATCTTTGGCCCTCTCATTTATTCTTGACAGCACATTGTCAAGTTTTTGTATCAATATCATTTTCTTTTTGGTTAGTGCTCTTGTGAAAACATGCCGAAGCATCGTTTTTATAATTTTATCAGTTTTTCATCAATCGCACGAACAAAATCAGATTTTTAATTCCTTTTGATCAAACAAACCTATATATATATATTTATATAAATGATTTTTAAAATTGAGGTATAAAAGTTATTATTTGTAAAAAAATTATTCAGATCTAGCTGTTCTGTTTGAGATTCAGAGATTATATAAATTACTTCATCGTGTTATTTCAGGTTAATGGTAATTTAATTTCATATACTGTTTTACAATTATATAATTGAAATAAATTATTGTGATTTTTATCAAATTATTATAAATATCCTAGTAACGTTAATTTAATACTATTATACACTATAATTAGTAGTAACCCAGAATATAATATTTTGCGAAAAAGTTATTATACATTTTTTTACAATTACAGCTTAAAACTTAAAGTATATTAATATGTACAGGGTGTTCGGTAAGTAGAAAATAGGTTAATTATGTATGAACAAAGAACACAATAGAAACTCGTTTCATTACTTACTAATCACTCTATATATAAATTTCAACTTTCAATCATTAAATGGTTTGAACGTTGTTAAATATTTAATAAATTTTATTAGTAAAATATCAAGCTGACATAGTAGTTTTAAACATTAATTATATAGTCGAGCATAAATAATAATTAACATTTGCACGGATTTATTAGTGTAATGTTTATTATTAATTAAAAAATTAATAATTTAATAATTAAAAATTTTACTTAACAAAATCATATAAAAACAAAAATTCAATAATAATATTTTTTTAAACTTCTAAATTTATGTTTTTATAAAGCGTAACTATATCATATATCAATAATTATACAATGAAGATTAAAATATCGTATAGTTATTGACATTCGGACCTCGGAAAATTGGCCACATCTAATAGTCAAAGTATTTTTGACCTAACATTTTTTAGAGACCGCCGTGTGAATGAACTAATTAGTAATATTTTTAGCAAAGATGTGATTTGATTCATAACATTTTTATCAAAATTCTATTCACACGAGCCAACGCAAAATTTTATTTGTAAAAGAAATCTGATAAAATATTTAATTTTTTTATTACATTATTTTTTAATAAACTATAAAAAGAACTGTTATTTAGTAATGAATTTTATGATGATACATTGGTACATAGATTAATACTTAATGTAATGTAAATATTTATAAATGTAGGTAAAATAACAACGATGTTGGTCGTATAAAACGCTATTGTCTTTATTTTAATAATGCCTCTTCAGAGATTTTTTATATGCTTAATAAGTAATAGTTTTAGATTATTGTTTAAATTGTACTATTAACCTTCGTTTTTATCTTTGTTATACTCATATCAATAAATACAAATAAATATTGCTTTCTCAAAAATAATCTGTTAATATATTATAGAATGTTTTCAAGTAAAGTCAATTTGTACTTTAATACTAAACAGTCATGAATGGAGACCGAATTTGATAAGGAAGACTAAATTAGTTTATTAGCGTTTGATCTCAGCCTAATTTATTAATTTCACTCTTATTTGACATCGAAAGCAGCTAACCGTTTTTCTAAACATGGACGCAAAAATCCTCTTAATACTTGTCGTTATTTTTGGTTTTACTTCAGCTTACCAGGTATTAATCTATTGTTTAATTATGTATATAATAGAATGATTTTTTGTTTAAATAAGATATTTTACATTATATTTAAGATTGATTTAGAAAAATTATCCTTAACTACAAATTTTGTTTTAAAAAATTTATTTATCTATGGTTATTGATTGTTTTGTGTACCGCTATGTAAAACAGTAAAAATTTCTTAATTTTTTAATAAAAACTAGAACTATTACGAATAAAATAAGAAAACTAGTATACATTGGTAAAAAAACATATTTTGTTATATTTGATATAATATCATTGTTTAACAACCATAAATCTATTTTTACAAATTGAATTTTTATTAATCTACATATAATTAAAAAAATTATTTTTAGCCTAAACTCAACTCAGCTTTCAATACCGTATCAGAACAATTTGTTGAAAGTTTCAACAAAATAAGAAGGTCACTTTCTTCTGAAGATCAAAAACATCTTGGAAAATTAATTGAAAGTTTTCAAGATTCATATTCTAATGTAATACATTCATAGTTAATTCTTAATATTCTTGTTAATGATGATATATTATTTTAGTTGAATGACTTGTTGTTAAAATGGAATGATCGTGTGATTGGTAATACTGACCCTCAAATAAAAAAAACATACGAATCATTGAAGAAAGATACAAGCCATGTATACAACAAAGCTATTGAAAGTTTGTATGACTTTAACAAACAATTTGAAGAAAGAGCTGGACCAAGTTATCAGTCAGGAATCCAAAGTGTAGCCGACACAATAGTTAAATACATAAAGCAAGCCGAGGTAATTAATTTTATTTTATTAAAAGAAAATAGTTTTCGAAATTTCTAACTAAATTACGATGATTATAAACAATTCAAATTGTTACAGAGTAATATCATTGACTCAAATATTCTCAAAAGAAAAAATTAAAAAACTCAGTTAAACTCCCGGATGAATTCAAAAACAATTAGAGATATCAAGTTTACAAGATCAATAATATTTTCAAATCACTGTCATGATATTGTATTAATTATATTTATATAAAATTTTGTTGAAACTATTTTTTAATTAAGCGTTTTTTAAAATTTAATTTTAAAAGACCACATAATTTCATATTATGGAATTTTTATTGTAAAATAATACTATATTTATCATTATTACTGTATAGTTAGTATTGTTCTTCAAAACAATTTTTTTATAATAAATACACTAACAATTTTTAACATTGAAATTGTCTGTACTTCGATTTAATTATTTATTTTTAATTTAAATGGTTACATTATTGCGTGACAAAAATATTCAATAAGGTATGTAATCATGACACATAATTTGAATTTTTTTTGAATCGGCATCTTGGGGAAGGCAACCTTTGTTCCCCCTTATAATGGGATATAATTTAATATTTAATATAAAAGATACATAAAATGTAGGTCATTTATTTTGTGTTCGTTTTTTTCTAGTAATTTATGATATTAGACTTGTTGTGTTATTAGTGCTAATAAATTTGAAAGCATCTTTAACATTTTCACATAAGTTACCTAGACACTTATGTACACGTGTTAGGACTTCATTATAAATTTATATAAATGATTCTTTAGCGTGTTAATTATTTTTTCTTGCATTAATTAGAGTTTGTTCAACATCTAAAAACAATTATTTCCATTTAAGTCCCAAAAGTAGGCTGTTTAAAAAAAGGTTCTTTACATTTATATAAAATAACTGCGAAAACCTTAAATTCTACGTATTATTTATTAATTTATTATACAATATGTATAGAATTAATTGCATGACGATTTTGATAAAGGCAGCCATGTGGCTATTTAATATTGTTGTTGCCTTAGTTACATAACAATAACATAGGAAAACAAGACGTGTATAGAGCTTTGGGTCAATATGAGTAGCTATTTGTTTTCTAGAGTTCTTCCTTTAAAAGTGTTAAAGAACCTAACTTACCAAGATTGTTAAATTTGTGTGTAAGTTTAAAGTATAGGAAAAGTCTTACAGCACTTATAAGAATTTTTCCTTTAAAACTAATTAAACTGTAATCATTGTTGACTACAATTGGTGTTAAAGAAGATGAAAATTAATTTTTTTACATTAAAAAAGCAATAAATTGAATAAATTAATATATTAATTAATAAAATAAAACCATAAGAGTTTTGAATGAATAAATCAAGTCACATACGTGATATAAGTTCAGATATAAACTGTTTTTGTAATGCTCAAGTTCTTAAGAATAAGAAAATAATATTTTATTTATAAAAGAAAAATGGTGGTTATTTGTTTTAAAAACGTTTCACTAAATTTTTACAAAAAAAAAGTTTATGATTTTTAAGGGGCTACCTTAATATTGTTAGCCTCTTCACAACAAAATTTTTAAGTATAGCTGTGGATATAAAAATTCTTTTAATATGAAAAACATTTACAAACAATAAATAGGATATAATGCTAGTTTCTATAAAATAAATCTCTTCGCTCTTCCGATAAAAGCTCAATTGAGAAGTTTGTATAATTCACTAAAACATTTTGTTGAAATAATAATAATAAACTTTCATTGCAAGAAACAGAACTTTTTGATTTATAAAAATAACACCACTAAGTTTCTTAATACCTAACTAATAAATAAATTATATTTAAAAGTCTTATTTGTGGTACATAATTTTATAATATATTAATTATTAGTAGTTTGTTATAAATAATTGTTTAAAAAGACGGTTGAATTTAAAATTCTCTCTATGCGAGTAATACATTTTGAAGTTAAATAATTTCATAATGGTTATACTATTTTATGGTTTTTATCAACACACTTTTCAATGTTTATTTAATATTATTTATGAATATAAATAATTATAAATACGGTTTCACTATGTACAGTCATGTTTTAGTAGTAAAAGATTAAACCTCCTACAGAATGATACATAGATTCATTAATATAACGACCTAAGCCTAAAATAATTTATGCTTAGGGTTCTATTAATAATTTAGCAACAAACAATAGAAATTTGCCGTGTGATATTAATTACTTAAGTTTGTCGGGTACTCGTTTTAATCTCAATGTTTATGATAGTTTTACCAAGAGCAAAGCATACACTAATATTATTTCAGGCGATCTATGTAAAATCACAATAGTCTTTGTTGGACTATTCATGTACGGATATATATATTTAAGTATAAATATTCTCTGATATAAATATATTCAATTAATTAATGAGGTGTTGTCTGAGATTCCTCTTGAAAAATAAAGTTAAAGACTTTAACTGAAAAAAATATTTTTTCAAGAAAATTTAATCATTTCGGTCCTATTGGTCTTCATCAACTTATTTAGTTGTTATAATGTCAGAAATATCATTTTGAAATGAAAAAATGTAATAAAATAATTCATGTTAAAAATATTTGTTTAAATATAATTAAAAATATGATTTAATTATTAATTTAACGCTTTAAATTATATTATAATATAAATGTAAAAAGAAAATTAAAATTGTTTTTTATCAAATAGTTTGTCATAAGATAGTAAATAATAGTGATAAAAATCTCATTTTTTTTGTATTTTACATGAAAAATTAAGTTGAAATGATGTTTAACCGCCAAAATTTCACTATCAGTGTTATTAAGTGTACAATGCATTGTTATTCTTTGGACTCTACCAAAACCAATATGCAATAAGAGCAAAATAAAACTGCCGCGTCGGAGAGCACTTGGATTTCGTGGCATTAGTTGATATTTGTTAGTTTTCAAAAAGATATATCATCTTGTAATGTCAAAGTTATGTATTTGTCATAAAGTTTTGAATTTTTTTTTTGATAAAGTTTACCAAAGTCTTGCATTAATATAATCAAGTAGAATTTTTATGTATGAATCTTTTTATAAAAATTAAAAACATACTACTTTAGGGCCTAAAGTAAGACCAAACTTAATAAAAAATTTAAAAATTCTATGAGTTATATGAAATTATTAAATTTCTCAAAAAAAAAATTATTCAGTGTTAAAAATGTAAGTTAATGTTGGGGTATTGTAGACTGGAGTTACAAACATATATATTTAAATATCTTTATTAAAACATAGTAAAAAATTTAATACTGAATAAATTTTTGTAGAAATGTTCGGAAATAAAAAAAAAGTTTTTATTTTAAATATTTTCTTAATTTAATCATCTTTTTATTTAATTTTTAATAATTTTGAATAACTTTATCATCAATCTTTACGCCTAAGTATAACAATGTTAATATCTTAAAAATAGTCATAATGCGTATCCCATCAACAGCTTTGATTTTAAAATGGTAAAGACATCAATAAGACTATCATAGTAAAGCTAGAATAAAATATAAAGGGTTGTAAGTTCACTCTAAAAATAGAGGAACCAATTCTTAAGTAGCCCCAATTTGATCAGTGAATCTATATTTCTTTATTTTTATTCAGAAAAAGTAATACCCCGCAGTGATAAAAAATACAGATGAACTTTGGATACATATAAAGTTTTAACAATCGCATTATATTTAAGACACTTAATTTTAATTTCCAGATACTATCTGTTGTTGAACAAAAAAAAAAGCAATATGGTACCGAGTATTAATACAATACACTATGAGAGATAATTTTTCTAAAAGTGTCAGACTATAAACCAAACTGTTTAAATTTTTGAGAGTAAAACCATTTATAAACGTCTATTTTTTTACAGGTAGCGCCCAATGTTGACAATTGGATAGCCCTTATATTAATTTTGAATTCCACAAACCGTAAAAATTTCTTTGGATTTTTCAAATATTAAAAAACTTTTCCGTATAAATCCATAAAGCATTATTAATAATTATTATTTTTTGCACATTTTAATTTCAATAATATAATTTAATGCTTATTTCAAGGATTTTTTATGATTAGATTCATGTTTTACATTGTTAGATGCACATAGATCTAATTATAATTATGACTGACCGCAAATTTAACTACCAATTAGTTATTTTCAAACTATGATAAAAATAATTTTGTACAATTATTTTATTAAATTCATAACTTACAGCTCTACTAATAAATAATTTGTTGTTTTTAAATACATAAATGATAATAACTAAAATTTCTCTATCGACGTATTCTCAAGTATCTTGTATTAACAAAACAATGTAACCTAAAAATAGAAGTAGATAGATGAACAAACAATAGTTTCAAAAAGTCGCGATCTGTATCAACAATTATTAATCCAGCACAATACCCATGACTCGTAGGTTTTGAAGTGCTGTCGATATTTTTACTTTTATTTCTACATATAAATACAGACCCAAAATACAATAATAGTTTCTTTAGACGTGCATGATAATTTGTTTGCATTTTCTCACTTTTTTTCTTATTCTCAGATGACCTATACACAATAGATAGGTCACTAGTTGAAATAGTTAACACGCGTCAGCTTTGTTCCGTAAAACAATATATTGAACGGTTTTTATAGATAGTTTAAGAGTCGGTTGAATAAGATTGTTATAAAGTAGACAAATGAATGGCGATGAATTGAAGTTTTTCGATTGACGTTGCAGAGAAGTACTGGGCAATCGAACGTGTTAGGAAACGGGACCAACTAAGAGAACTGTCATTCAACTATCGGTATGTGTGTGTTTGGTTAATAGGAAAAACAACAAACTAAAAATCGAAAACGTTTCATCACGTAATTCTTTAATTTTTGCCGGAGTACCTATAATTTATTTAGACTTCCCGACCTGGGAGTTTTGCCAGTTCGTTGCAACACTAACTATTCTTTGGTCGATAATGATCTTCGAAACTCGCAGTAAAGTAATAATGATACATTACAGAGTTTTTAAAATAGTGTACAACAACTTTTAAGATATTTATAATTGACCCACGGGAAATCAACCGATTTAAAAAGTAAAAATCGCTGGTCAGCAATTACATAAATCTCTGGTCGTTACAGTTCCCACAGATACTCCCAGCACAGGTCTTTACACCATAAACATAATTTCA